CATAACATAACATAACATAACATAACATAACATAACATAACATAACATAACATAACATAACATAACATAACATAACATAACATAACATAGGCTAGCTTCCTGAAATCCAGATGTCTGTGGGTGAGGATTCCCTGAGTTAAGGTCCACAGATGTGGAGGGTACCCAAGTTGGAGAGGTTGATCTAGATTATGAGACATAGAACAAATAGTTCGTTTGAGCAAACAAGACAAGACATATACTGTTGAAGAACACCAGCATCATTATGCATGTGATACTATGGATCAGAGACATCTGATCACCAATCGCACGTCAAAGTGGATTAGAAAGAGTCAACCTTCAAAATAGCATTGGATGATCGTCCTTTTTCATTTGTCAATACGATAGCATTAGTTATTCTGATTTGTCTTGTAAGCTTTTTAAAAAAAAATGTAGCCAGTTTTCTAAATGCACCTTGATGCCTTTTTTAAAAACTTCACACTTGATTTACAGAAAGGTTTTGATTAAGTGTGTTCATTTTGCTGGTAGAACAAACTGGCAGCTGTGTAGAGCATGGCCAGAGATTTGGGGTGCTAAAACTGTAATGATGTGAGCAATAATGTTGTTATCTAAAGGAAATTTAAAAGAGAAGGATTGGAAAGTTTTGTATATCCTCTTTAAACTTGGGTATGAAGTTGTTTGATATCCTTCCCTTATAATTTCAGGATGGCAATACTCATCTCCCAGATCTTTCCTCGCTCTCCAACCTGCTAGAAGGAGATGGCTCAAAAACACCCAACCAGGTGGGTTGTGAAGGTGGGAAGAGGCAGGAAGAAAAGATGTCTTGTATTAGATGTTGTTCAATGCAAATCTTGATGGATGCTTGTTATATTTAAGCAGACTTCAAAGAAGAATCAACCACTTTTGTGAAGCGGTAAACACATTTGGAAATTTAAGATTGAGACACTATAAAATATCTTCTTACTCCTGGAAGCAAATTTGGGAGGGTTTGTTTCACCAACACCTAGGATACTTTGTTTGTTTGTTTGTTTAAATGTATATGCTGACTTTATATAAATATAAATTTATGTACTTTTATCTTTTCTCTGCGAAGATACAGTTCCCACAACTTTAGGATATAGGCTAGAAATCCCTCAAATTGCACTCAAGTGTACTATGTTGCCTACCTTGGTTCAGAAAAATACTTTGACATTGAAGTTAAATATTTGCAGCTCATGCGGTTAGTGTTGCATGAAATGAGATTAGCTGCAGCCAAAGGCAGGCAAAGAATAGAAATGACTGGACAATCTTGTGATGACTTCTTTAACTGGTCTCAGTTCTGATTTACATCCTATTTTCACTCTTTTTCTTTTTCTGTCCCTTCTTGATACCAATATTCACAAGGAGCTAGGAGAAAAGAAATTATTCTGTGTAATCATACCAAGAAAGCAATTTAAAAAAGAAAGTAAAATAAAACTGGCAGGAACAGAGTGAGGTTAAGAGAATCTTCCAAAATCTCAAAACCACCTAACTTATTAAGGTGGTAACTGATACTAATAACCCTTCCTTATGCATTAGGGTTACTTATCTGAATAGTTAGATGAGATAGCTTTATATGTAAGGTCCCAAATTTAATCCTTTGTCTTTCTTAAATACAACATTTAAGAGAAAAATTGATGGAACTGTAGAGAGCTACAACCAGTGACATGCAGGCAGGGAAGGCAGGGGAGGCAGAGCCTCACTATTGTCATCATGGAAAAAAAACATGTAAAAGGAAAAAGGCAAGAGCTGAGGTCAGGCTGAGCTAGTTGCTGCCAGAATCACAGTGGATGACTCTGCTTAGTGCTTAACTGTTTAAAAAAGCCTCTAAAAAAGCACCCTCTACAGGAGGAGGCAGGAGAACGATGTGCCTCATCTAGTTTGACTTTAGGCTTTTTATGATCACTCAAGCAGAGTTAAGCAAGGGTTAAAAGCTGAAAAATTCCTGATGTAGATGAGGC